ACCTTTCAAGCCTTATTGCACCTCCTAAGACTAACAATTATGTCTGCATTTTCCCTCTGTACACACATAGACATTGGATCACAACCCTGAAACAGTAATTGATAAATAACAAATAAATAAAATGTTAATTTTCTCCTCCTGAATTATTTAGATTTGTTTACTGTCAGTGAGTGAAACCTCTAACCCCTCCCTTCTGTGCACAGGGCAGCAGGCTACTTAGCCAAATGACGGCCTTACAGTTAAACATCCCAGAGACATTAAAACACATTAAAAACCTTTGCAGTTAAAAGGTTTGGTGGAGTTGGAGTGAACACTTTTTGAGAGTGAAGAGACCGTGTGTGTGGCTGTTGTTTGTTATTTATCAGGAACAGGCACATTAGTTGACTTCATTATGATGGAAATGTACCAAATATAGTGAAATTGCTAATTTACATCAGCCGTCCCTGGATCAGTTGATATGTGTGTTATTCTACTCATCTGTGTGGACGCTCTCCTGTGCTTTGTTTGTGTGTACGCACAAGTGTTTGGCACCTGGTAGGTCTTCCCACTTGCATCTGTGTTAGTGCACTTATTGCCATGTGTGTGCAAAGTGTGTTTTTGCCTGCCAGAGTGAGTACTCTTTCTAAGTGACCCGCTTGTGCTCCATTACCAGAGCATCATTAAGCTGTTGTTGTTGATGCTCGGCCTCCTTCCTTATGGTTTGGCCTTGGATCTCATCCGTTCCCCTGAGCCCTATTACAGTACAGAGCAGTAAGCATTTCCCAAACAAATTAATACCATATCCTGAGTGTACCTAAACTTTCTGGAAGTGTAATATAGACTGGTAATGGTGGCAGTCATTTTTATCTCTTGTGGTTGCAGAACGGATTTCAGTTTATGTTTATGTTTCTGAATGGTTTATGGACACAAGCATGTTAATTCTTGTGACTGTGGCGTCTGCTTTATGGGCAGGATATCGATCGGACGTGCTGTAACCATGCTGTCTCGTGCAGCGGTTGCAAATGCAAAATGCTTTCCAATAACTACGAGAGTAATTCAGGTTGGTAAATTACACTCAGCAGCGTATGTATTGCAGCAGTGAGCTTACACCAGCCTGGATTTTGTAAGAACATCATTTTTCTGTCCGTATCATAGTGTATAATTATGGGCGTTCATTGGTCTCTGTGTGAAAGAAATTCCAAAAAATACATTCTTGGGATTTCTGTTACCATTATACATTCAAACACAAACCGATATTAGAGCTTTTTTCACTTTTTGCTATTTTCCCCCACTAAGCTGTACTGCTCGTCTTAAATCACACACTTCAGTACGGACATAGGATGTCTTCCTGGTTTCTAATGTATTGGTGTGTATTATCTTCTGCTATCCATGTCTCTGTCTGTCTTTACGTTGCTGTCTATATCTAAGGTACAAATCTTACCTGTCACATACAGGGGGGATCTTTAAAAACACATTTACCTTTAGCTGTCTGCCGTCTTCCATTTCTGGTGACACAGCAGTGTAGGTCCTGACATACGACCTGAGTGCTGACCCCAGACTGTCATCCATCATTAATATGACTTTTGTTTCTGACGTTGTTTTTGTGCCGTCTGACGTCCTGGGGTAAGGTTCCTCCCAGGGTTCCTTACATTTCACCTACCTGACCCCTCAATTCTAAACCTTAGACATGGTGCGTGTGTGTGTGTGTGTGTGCGCACCTCTGTTTCTTTCCTGGACAAACCCTCTTTAGTTCTTGGCTTTGGATCTTAGAAAGGCACTTTGTGTGTGTGGGTGGGACCCAAAGAGGGGTAATCATCTATAAGTTATGTCAACTAATTAAGACTGGGTCCTAACCTATGGCTGACCCCAGGGAAATAACAATGCACCATCTAAAAGCCTTTGTACTGGTGTACCTGTGGCCTCTTGGCCACAGTAGAGTGTTGGATGTCCTGTGTGTGTGTGTGTTCTGGCTGGCTAGTAGTGCAGGGCTACCTTGATCTGGTAACTGGAGCACGAGGAGAGAAGAAATGAGAGAGAGGACAGCGAGAGAGTGAAGGAGAAAAGAGAAGGGGTGAAAGAAAGAAAGTGCCTCTTCAGTGAAAGAAAGTAAGAGAAGCAGAAGCCTGGCCCATGTAATTAGGCCTAAATGAGTTTTCCACTGACTCAGTGGGTTGAGGCCGTGCAGCGCTGGGACAAAGATAGACTGGAGGTCAGAGAGTCATCGAGTCAGGGAGACGGGCCGTTGCTGTAGTCATATGAAGAGAGGGGGCGCAGTAAGGGATGCTGCAACTGTAGGCATCCTCTGGTCATGTTTTCTCAGAGGAGATGCACTAAACCAGTTGTATTACTGTTGCTGTAGAGCTGTACAAAGAAATATTTTATGTGAATAAAACATCCATTCATTACCAGCTTCACTATGCGGGGCTGCAGTGGAGAAGAGCTTCCCATAATTCTCTTAATTAAAGGCCCTGCACACCCATGGTGTATAGGCTGTGACACAAGTGTTGGACAGTACAAAGGGCTTTTTGTATGATCACTGGAGAGTAGAGGCTAAAGCCCCCTAGGGGTGCCCCCTAATAGTCGACCTAACCGTTAGTCGTCGTGAAGAATCTTAGTCGACGCACTTTTCATTAGTTGGATAGTTGCAGAAAAACAAAAACATCAAACTCTGGCATCAGGGGATTGTTGCAACATGGGCCTTTTCTCTTGTGATACAGGAAGCCACTGGTGCACTGCTGCATAGGCTAACTGTACCAGCTGTTGTCACTAGCTAGTTAGCGGTCCTATGAGCTCACTGTACCCGGACAGGGAGCTCGAAGGACAGGGGGAGTTTAAACACTAGGAGAGGGGACCCAGCAGGGAATACTGCCAAAGGAGCACACAACTGAAATGGGCTCATAGCCTCAACGGATTTACAGCGGCTCCGACCAGGATGATGACTCTGGGGATGAAGACAGGGCGGGTTCAGGAGAGGCATGAAACAGAGGAAGAGGAGCGAGTTTAAAGCAAGTTAAGATAAGTCTGCGAGTACACAAGACTTGTTTAAAAATAAATTAACTAAATGTCTCCTTGCTGGTTGCTCTGACACATTCAGAATTGTTACCACTGATCACACAGGCAGCTGTTAAAATCTCTATTTTTAGATTAGGGATGCATGATAATTATCGGGGCAGATAAATAAGTGGCCGATAATAGGAAATGTATATTATTCGGAATTATTGGGATAATTAAATAATATATTATATTTAATTATATATTGAATTAAATTATCGGCCCATAATAATAATTTATTTAGAATCCTTATGCAAAACTATTGATGGCCTTTAGCGAATGTATGTTTGAAGTTTTTTGATTCACTTTGACTAGAAAAACTAAAAATATTTGAAGAATCTGAACTGTTCTTTGTTGTTGTGTTATCAATAGTTATGTCAGATGGATTTGGTTAGGTCAGAGCTATGGAATATTACATCATCCATCTTGCTAACTACATATGAGCCTTTCTTGCTATCAAGTGTGTAAAAACTACATCATGACCTTTTTTTTTTCAATTACGAAAACTTGAAATGATTGGTTATTATCGGTATCCGCCATGCGAAGCAGGTAATTATTGGTTATGGTATCGACTGAAATAAAAATCCATATTGTCTAATTTAAATAATTCAATTAACATCATAAACATTCAATGACTAGTCGACCATTCACTTTATATTACGACTACTAGCCGACTAGGAAAACCTTTAGTTGGGGCAGCCCTAAAGCACTGTGTTACTAATGAGGTTTGCATCATAATAGCAAAAAGCATAGCGCATAGACATCAATGCTATGGGATTATACCTGTCAGTGTTACACGTGGTGTTATTTCATTCTGACACAAGCCAGCAAATTTAAACTTTCATTTCCATAATCTCTCTCTTTTTAACAAAACATTTGATGGAAAGAATATTGTGCTTGGTGGATTAAAAACACCATAACACCATGTGCAGTGAGAAAGATCATTGACCCTTGGGCTTGTCTTCACAATGCAGTGGTTAGGACAAGCTGTAAAATGCACGTGTTACACTAAAAACAAGCCCCTGTGTCCCTGCTTGCAAATCATGCTCCTGAGACTCATCATAAAATGTTAAAGGACCATACTCAGTGGCTTAGGCCTGGAGGTGTTACTGCTAAAGCCATTAAGTAAA